TCCCTTGCGGTGGCTCGTGCACCCCAGGGTAAATGGGCAGGATGAGGTACAGGTGGGACAGGTGAAGGACCAGTGGGTCCATTTCACAAACTGAGGAAAACTAAGGCACAGTGACAGATACAACAACTTCATCACAAGTGTGATCGGTGACAGTGACCCCCTGAAATAGCCAGGGAGGTACAGTCTTGAGTCCCTTTGCAACCTGGGCTTGCTTCTGTTCCATAGGGAAAAGCAGCCAGTCCCAATGAGGCCGTTAACATGCTGGAGCAGTTATTCTGGGGCCAGGCATCCACAGAGCGTGGTGTCCTCCTCCCAGTGAGCTGCATCAGTCCTGCCTCAAATTCAGGACCTAAGCCAGTCCCAGTGTCCTGGACAGCTCTGCCTGCAACCAGTAGTCTCAGGGTGGAATTGCCATCATTGAGATTAAGCCAGCTGTAGCCTCCCCTCCACTGCCACTCAAGCTGTTTCCCTAGGGTGTCACATATCCTTGGCCACCTCCAGGACCAGAATGGCCCCACATGAGCCCTACCAGCACAGCAGGACCTTTCTCCAGAATTAAGGTTGTGCCTGTCATATCACCTGGATGTTTGCTACCAAGGAGACCACTGTGTTAAAAGGAAGCCTGGGAGATGTTTAAACACCCCCACAAACACTTCTAATCAGCCCCAGTAAGAGTGAAAGCATCCAGAAAACCCAAAGGGCCCTACTCATTTTATAGTAGGCTGGGTCACGAGCTCTCAGTTTTGCTGTTTGCGAAGTGCCTGGTGTGCAGGGACCTCAGAAGCCTTTGCAAGAATGCTGATGGCCATGAGATGTGACAAGAGAAGAGCAGCTGCGCAGAGAAAGAGACACTGCTGGAAATGACTCACCCAAGTTACCGCAGCTTAACTTCTTCCCATTTCTTTTGCACAGGCCTTGGAGCATCTCAGTGCAGGAGGAAGACAGAGACTGTTAAATCAGACCAAAGCTGGAGAAAACGTTTGTACCATGGGAAGGAAAGCATAGGAAGATGCTCTGTGGAGCAATGTGGGCTCTCTGTCACTGGAGGGTTGAAGAACATATTGGGAAAAAGCAAAAAGCAGGTGCTGTCAGGGATCAGATGTCTTCCAGGTTAAAATCTGAACAGAGCTGGGCTTTGCTCCACCTGTTTTCCGAAATGTCTGGATCTGATTGCTGTTGGAAATTGGATATGGGGCTAGATAAACCAAGAGGATGGGCCCATCCTGTCTTCCGAGATGTTGCTGGGAATTAGGAGCAGGGTTGCTCCCTCCAGCATGTACAATGTAAGGCCATTGAATGTGATATAAAAGCTTTCTCCTGAGCTAGCCAGGAGGTTTTTGTCTTCCTTATTTCAATCTCATAATCTCTGTCACATGGTAAGTACAAGTATCACTGGATAAATGAGAAATGACTGCTCAAACCACCAGTGAAGCATTATCCTGAGCCTCTCAGCCTCAGCCGTTGCTCAAGAGCACTGGAGGAGGAGCATTTCAGCACACATCTCCATAATCATGGTCTCAGGTTCTACCTTACCTGACAGGAGGAGAAGCAGTGAGGCCCAGCCTCCCAGGAGATGCAGCATTTTGTGGACTATTTTACCCCAAGAGACAGCAAGACCAATGCCAAAAAATGCAGGTGGCTTAAAGCAGGTTACAGCATTCAGCATACTCACTGGTCTCCACCTCAAAGTACATACTGGGACAGATGTGACATATGAGTTTGCCTATAAAGCAGCAGCAAAGCTGGGACAAGCCCCCAGAAATGTTGAAGTGATGAAGGTAAAAGTGGTCTGATCCTCTATCCCACACCCACCCCTCCAAGCCTTAGGGAGACTGAAAAACATTTAAGCAGTAGATGGGACCACGATGCATGTCTCAGTGCCCCCAGGTTTCAGTGAAAGGACTGAGACAGGACTGCCATGATGGGAGGTTTCCCCTTTCCCCTTCACCAAGCACACACTGGCTGAGCAAGGCTCCGTTAGCCAAGAAGGTGCCTTTGATGCTGAAGACATGATATGGTGAAGGGCCATGGTTTTTCAGCTCTCCTACCATCATTTTCCAAAGGTAACCAAACTGGCAGCGGACCCCTTTATAAAGAGGAAAGCTCCATTTGGACAGACTTCAAGCTCAACGAGTCATCAGGGTCACCTGGCAGCTTTCATGCCCAACTCACACTTTTAATGGCTTTGCAGATGATGGGGCAGGGAAGAAAGTGCAAGGGGAAAAGCTGCACTTGAGGATCTGGTCCCGGGAAATCCCAGCAGCAATTCAGACGAAAGGCTGAGCAGAGGCTTTGGTGGACATCTGCTGCCATCTAGTGTCATCTGAACACCCAAAAGCCCTCCCTGGATTCATTAATTTCTCTAACCAGACCTCAAGTCCTGCCTGTCCCATGGACCACAGGCCAAGCCTTACATTTGTGGGTGCATCAGGATGGACATCATCCATCTACACTCCCTGTGACCATCTCAGGTTAGACAGAGCTAGCAAACAGACCATTGTGCACCATCCCTAAATTACAATCCCCCCTTATACTGCTGCTCCCAGAGGGGAGCCAGCTTGTAGCTCAAGGGCAGAGTAGATGGGCTAGGCTGGGCATGTGGACTGGGAGGGCAGTTCTCAGCACTGCTGCTCTTGCCTGGGGAAAAGGGATGCGATAGGTCATTGTGCACCATGGCACAGCCAGTCTGCCTCAAGAAAAATCTGCTGGTGCATGCAAGGACATCTCCCAGGCAGAAAAAAGTGTCTTTGAGAAGGGTGAAAACATTGCTGTTGAGTATTTATTGCACTGCTGAGCAGAGCCCTAGACCAGTACATCTTTGCAGGATCCCTGGGACCAGAAACGGGGGTTTCTATCAATTCTTTTCTAGCCTGAATAGCTCAAATTTAGCTCCTTAATGTGCACATCCTAGCTCTGCATTGTTGGTGAAGTTTGGATAGCTGTAGAGGGTCAACTCCCCATCTCTCCCCATTAGCAATAGAAGGAGACGAAGGGGAGTATGATGGCCAGGTAGGTGACATTAATGGACAAGAAGCCAAGCCCAGGGACATTGCATCAGTGATGGTTCAATTGCTGGTCTCACAGTGAGGTGTTTTTTTGACTGCAGCACTGTCATCCCGCACTTTGTTATTAAGCTAAATGTCCTGGCTCGTTGAGAAAAGCTTTTTCCAAACACTTCATCATTGCAGCAACTTCTCCAAACCTTCTCCAACTGTTTATCCCTCTGTTAACACCTATACTGGACAGTAGAAGGGCATTCACAGGCAGGGAGTAGGGTTTCCCCTCTCCAGGAGCTCCGTAGGCCCTCCCTCAAATCTGACCATGTCAGAAATCCTTAGAAGATCACTAAAAAAAATGGAACCTTGGGAAGGTTTAGGGACCAGTTCATTTATCCTGTCCTTTGGAGGTCATCTGTGGATGATCTCAAGAGGTCCCTTTCAACCAAAATGACTCTGTGATTGTGACTTGTTATCAGCGTAAGAGGAGCTGATGGATCCTATATACCACCTGGATATCCACCAACCAAGAAAAATATGGAGGTAGCAGAAATCCTTCAGGGAAGACCCATGTGCATAACCAAAGACTTCAAAACAGAGTCCGATCTTAATGGAGTAAGGACAGATTAGGTTAAGGTGGCCTTAACCACAACCTGCAATTAGCAGCCTATTTTATAACACTGGGGATAATGAAACACCAGAGCAGTTTCCTGAAGGTTGTCCCTGAGCCTACATCAAGAACTTTTACATTGGTTTGACATATCTCAAAAAATGTGTCCTAGGACAGATGGCATCTACACAAGGGTAGTTGACGTGTTGCACACAGTTGGACCAAATGATCCCAGGCTTCAGGGCTAACAGAAGGGGTTCCAGGGCTGTCTGCTTGCACTGATGTGGTGGGAGACGCAGAGTCCTTGTGTCTAAAGGCTCAGGGAATGTCTGAGAAAAAAAAAGAGCCAGAGGAGCCAGGGGACTGTACAAAGCCTTTGTTCTCATTTCAGACCCTGACAGAGCCGCATGTCAAGTCATAGGAAAGTGGCACCGCATAGTACTGTGCAGGTCAACAGCACCTTTCATCTGAGGATTGTAAAGCCCTTTCAAGACATCAGTTTGTTAAACCTCACAACACCCCTGTGAGGTAGGTATTACCCCCGGTTTTACAGACGGGGGAACTGAGGCACAGAGAAATGCAATGGCTTGGCCAAGGCCTTTGGGCAAGCCAATGACACAGACAGGAGGTCTTCCTGCTCTTGTTCCCGGCTTGTGGTTCCTTCCCCCTTTGGACAGCAGAGTGTTAGCAGCTCACAGAGCCACTGTTGGGCTTGCCCCATAAGCAGGGAACATGCAATGTTTAAGGAGGGCTCCTGAGCCCCTTGAAAGCACCCTGGTAACCAGCTGCCACCAGCACTTCAGACATTAAACCATTTCCCAGACAGCTTCTCCTTCCAGGTATGGCCCCCGGATTGTCACTTGTTTTTCTTGTGCAATCAGACAGGAGGCCAGGAGGAGCCTGAGAACTCGGATCCTTCACAGAAATGTCCCAGCACTGTATGGCACAGTCCAAACTGGAAACCACTTTTCTCTCATGGCAAATGTTCCCCTGGACAATGATGCCCAGCATTTAACTCTAGTGGCAATAGGTGGTAGTGGGGTCTCACCAAGCCTGGAGGAGAAGGAGGAGGTAGCTAGAAGGATATTACACGGCTTTTGCTGCCACTGTTGTCAGTATCTTCCGTCAGTGTTGGATATTCACTTGACCCAAAGTCACCCCACGTGCAATGTCAAGAAGAAACTAAAGCTGGGGCGTAAATTGGCCCGGTAGCGATGCCAGGAGCTGTGGTGGAGTCTCCATCGTGGTAAACCCACCATCAGCCCACCCCAACCCTTAGTTATATTATGGTACCGATTTCCCCTCTCCTCCCCCCACCACTACAGTTTTTGTGCTAAATACATATTCTGTCTTATAAAAATAGTCCTCTGGTATCAAAAGACAAATAAACCAAAAGAGGAATAAAAGACCCCTGTTGCCAGCAGCAGTGCAAATCAGGAGAGCCAGCTCAGGAAGGATGGGCTTAAGGTGTCCTTGGTTTGTCACTTCTTCAAGGAGAAGGAAGTTGATTGGACTTTGATGGCTGGGACTGGCCTAAAGCGAGAAAGAGAAAGGAGAAAACTCATTTGAGGCAGAGACCAAGCATCCACCACCTCCA